ATCACGCGGACACGCTGGAGCCATATGACAACAACAGTGCTTCGCTGACAACGATGATCAAAGGCTTGAAGGAGAATCAGATCCTCGGATTGAAAAAGCTAAGTTTCACTCCCGTAGAGTAAGGCCTTGTAAACACGGCTTCTCAGACCGAGGGAAACCACTTTCTGACGCCACAGATACAAGAACGCAGTTTTAAGTTTTGCAATACGTGGACTGACTGCAGCTGCAAAGGTAAACGAATTTAACAACTACCTCGCTATCAATTGTCAAGGGGTCATCAATTGGCTGGTGGTCCTGTAGCAACACTTTGCATGTTGAAGGTGTAAAACGCATCCAAAATAATGGGGGCACACTAGAGGTTATTCAGGTTTGATTAGGCCGTTCCAATGAACTTTAAACAGCAAGAGAATATCGTCCGCATTATCACGATCAGCTAGAGGGTTCCGGTTTCTTTCTCCCGTTCCTGCACCCTATGACGCGTTTCGTCCTGGTTTGGACTCATCAGGTACGCCAAAATCCGGCGATCAACTTCTAACCGCCGTGCCAAGCTATGCGGAGCTCAATGGTCTAGTGATCATGGCGATAGCCGTAAGCCATAATGTGCCGAGTTCCACTCCCAATGCACGCCATCACTACATGATGAATCCAAACAAGGAAAAACCTGTCGTGGAGTGCAGGAATGGCAGAGAGCGACACCTAAAACTTCCACTTCGGATACGGTCTTAATGATCGAAATGGCACAGGCTGACTTCAAAATCAACCGAAGCGTGTGATTGCGTGTCGAAATTGAGGACACATGACGGGTACTCAAAAACCCGACTACCAGGATGAACTAACTTTTCGCCAGGCAGTATCTCAAAGCATGAACTTAATGGTGGAGTCCACGAAATTGACCGAAATGGGGAGAATAACCAACCCCAACGAACACCATATGTCGTCAGAAAGATATCTGACAAGTCACTGTAGATCCTGACGCAGCATGTAGCGTTCCTGGACAGGGAACGTAAAATGTCCACACATTTCATAGAAACAACTTTCCACACGTTTCCCGAACAGAACGCCTTGATCGACTGAGTCAAACGCATTTTTGAAGTTCAAGAACACAGCCGTCATCGGTCTGTGGTACGTGTAACGCTGATATAGTACTTGCTGCAGAGTAAACATGTGACCTATACAACCCCATCCTAGTCGGAAAGCTGCTTACTCATGACTAATCCGAGACTCTCGTTCCGTCGTGAAGCGAAGAAACAAGATTCGAGGCATTAAGCTAATAAGCGTGTAGTTATCACAGTCGTGGCGACTGCCCTTCGTGTATATTATCACTATTACCGATTTACTCCAGTTAGATGGGATAGTCACTTCCACACCTGTTCAAATAGGGAAGTCAGCGCTTTGCAGAGGATCTCACATCACAATTATACGGTGTGGATGCGAGGGATTCTGGGTCAGCAGCTCAAACGCGATCAATGGCTGAGATCGCGTTACGGACCTCAGCCACTGACGGAGTCTCTAAGCAAACTGGCCAGGACTCACCCTGTACCACCAGAGCATAGAGGTCCAGGAGAAAGAGTTCAACTGATCTGATCTCGAAATTGCTCCGCCGAGCGAGGCATACGATGCTCCTTATTGTGAGTCGCGGAACCCGTACTGCCTCTGATTGTCTCACGGAGGCCTGGCTTCCTGGGATCAATTGAAGCCGCTTGCATTAATTGTCTACAGCTCCCGCCTCTTAAATTTCTTGAGCCCGACTGACAAATCAGACTTTCGAGTCAGTACGCAGGCTCCGCTTTACTTCGTGCCTAATAGCCTACCAGTTGCGAGTTTCCTTCTGGAATCCCAGGTTCACCGACCTCTCAGATAAACAGTGACCGCCGCGGTGTCGTTTGCTAGTTCCACAAGCAGTGGCTCTCGCATCGTGCATCGCATTCGATATCATATCCACTGAAGCACAGTCTCATTGCAGCCAGGAAACGAAATTTCGGTATGCAGAGCATCCTGGTAACCTTCACTTACCGCGGGCTGGGATAAATCCTCAGTTGCCAATCGAGGAAGGCACATGATATGCCTCCCAGTAAAACCCACACCACAACACACCGCACCAAGGCATGAGCAGACTTGACGCAGGTATTCCAGAACGAGTTGTAATCCAGCAGGGAACCACGCCACCTGTGACTTATGGCAACGTGATATACTTGGGTCCATTGCTAACCAGCTATAGGCGGACGCCAAGTGGTACTTCGGCGCCCAATGTGTCGAAAAGCGGTGCTACTAAGAAATGGCCGGTTCTCTGTGCACAGACGCTCGCAGTTGTCCGTCTGGTCGGAGCTAAGCCCATACTAATCACCTAGCTCAGGTACCGTAGAGTCCAGACGGCCTACTTGAGTATCCATTTCTTGGAACAGCAACCCTATCTGGACTGCTAATACTGCGAAGCACCGTGTTCAATTCGTGGTAGAGATCGTCCTTGGCAGTACTAAAGCTGAAGCCAGTGAAGACAAAAGCGGAAACCACAAACAAACAGCGTCTAGTGCTAACATTTTGGGAATCAACCTTAGTTGATGTTGTCGAATTGGTTGTACACAGGAAGCCAATCAACCCAGGATGAATCGGCCTTGGAGCTGAGAACGATGCCCACTCCAGCTTGACCAGTGGTTGCAGCATCAGCGTCTTCGGATGCGTGCAACCAGAAGCGAGAGGACAAGCCGGGTAGAATTAGCCAACAAATCTGTGAGGCGCACCGATCTTGATTTCGGACACGTAACAAACGCCAATACCCTGTGTGTCCAACGTGCGTGCGAGTGAAGCCCGTTGACCTATTTATCTTGGAGTGAGAACGTTGAACGCCAATAGCATGGCGTTATAAGGAGCTGCTGGCGATAGGCGTCTAGTGGGTGGCGCGGGAAGATAACTTCAAATGGTAGAACTGCAGTGGCATTTTCATTGTTTTCAACTTACCTGGGAATTCGTGAAGTATGTCCATACAAATAGCAACACACAGCTTAGCGAAGAAATCTCTTTCCGATATTTCTCATCAGGCTAATACATAAATAAAACTAGTTAAAATCGCCGACATGAGCAGGCGCCTACTCATGTCGGCCGATGCTAGTTCGATCCGGCTGACGCAACCAGAATTATGCAATCAGATGATGCTAGTTCAAAGGCTCCATTTATCCTGACCATAATTTTACTGTGATCCTCCTCGACCTCCCATCGGACAGCTGAATCGTGGTGTGTTGTATTGTGAACATGTGTGCATACGAGTGTGAGCTTAGCTCATATAATCGATTGCAAAGAATCGAATACCAAAGCAGCCTATTTGGACTTGACCAACCCTAGATTTGCTATTTTAGCCTATCACGATTATAACCAGTTTTATATATGTATTAGCCTGATGAGAAATATGGAAAAGAAAACTCTTCGCGGAGCTCTAATTTACATGGGAAGTATAGAACAAAAGCGATTAGTGGGGTAGAGAGAAGGTAAGAAAAACCGGTGGAAAAGAAGTAAGGGACGCGCCAGCATTGGCATGTTTTCGCTTATCCGCCCAGCTGTATGGAGCGGATAAGGGGATCTTTGTAAGGCTGCGCGACGGGCAATGCGAGAATTGGTTAAATTTGATGAAATAGTCAGGGTTGTACGTGGGCTGAGATACTGCCAGGGGACCCAGACCTGGATAGGAGGACGAGTAGGATCCTCAACCAAAGTCTTTGGCTTAAAAGCCAGTCCGCAAGACAGCAGGGAGGTGGCAGGGATTAAGTGTTACAGACATGCATGTCATGCTATTGCAACCCCCTATCTGGAGAACCAAGAGACCGAGTTTGTCTGACCATTGACCAAGCTGGTAGTAGCTCTCAAGGGGCCCGGGGACAGCACCCAGTAAAGCTCAAAAAATGGCGCCACGCTAAGGTACAGTCTCGTAACGACGGGCAAGAGATCCACTGGTGTAAACACTACATGAACACCTGATGTCCACACGGGTTGTGCCACTAAAAAGTGATTTGAAATAAGACGGAAGAAAGTGTTTGGAATCAATGCACAACGAGACTGCCTTGAAAACGGAACTTATCTCTAAATCGCAAGAAACGAACACTTATCAGCATTCTGAGTGTATGGTAGTGCAGGAAGCGTAAATTAACCCAGTGTCAAATATTAACCACACTGTAATTTCAACCGGAAAATTGGACAGAATGACCTGCCATTAGCGACTGAGGAGATGAAAGTGTGTGAACGACCGCATAAGTAAGAGCTGGTGCACTGACTCGAACGGTTGGTTGCATACCTTAGCGTCAAAACAGAGGTGGTCAATGGTCTAGTATCCAACAAAGCGGACAATGAAGAAAGAAAACCGGGGAAACGCATGGTGGAATGAATAGCGGTAAGTGGCACTCGGGCATCTGTATCTACGTGATAAAAGCCGTGCGGAAAACGATGGAAAGATGAGGAGAAGTGGTGGCCATAGTGGTCACAGTAGTGCCCGTTTTGCTAAACATTTAGGCGAAACAATCACTCATTGAACTGTGTTAAGAGCCGCAAGCAAATGACCGCGTATGACCTAAGCACCTCAGTACGATGACGCGATCCTAGGAAATAACGCTTTTTGATGAGGATCAGTGGGTTTCCCACAATCAACTGGGCATCAACAATTGAACATTGTCAAGGTCAAAATCTATAAAATAGTTCAGGTGAACTAACCCAATTCCCCCGGAATGTTGGAGCCCCACATGTTGTGTGAGACGGCAGTAACCTAACCGATCAGTTAAACGTACAAGGAAGTTCACAGATTTGTAGACGCCGAAAACCGTTGTGTAAACGCGATCATGTCTAACTACTGCTACGCGAAAAATCAACCAAAGAATCAAGATCAAACAGCTGTGAAAAGACAAGATAAAAAGAAGACTAAAGTGGTATTCGGGCACATCAGTTGAGCGCAGGTGGTGCAGTGAAGTACATACAATGAGGCGACCGAGAGAGTAAAATACAGCGTAGAGGGACAAAAGGGGTTAAACGTGTTCTATGGTGGGCACTCGGACTTCTGATGCAAGAAGATGTATCATTTCACCCAGAGTGTCAATGGCTAAAGAGCTAATTTTGTCTTTGAAGAGGATGTCTGGGAGGCTGTCGCGGAAACGAGTGAAGGAAGTCAGCAATTCGTCCGCTAACGCCAAACCCAAATGGTCGTACTCCATGGCGTAGACTGAGGAGTGACATGAGCACGGGCGAGAGCACTGAACTGAAGGTTGACGTGTGAGTGACGCATCCATGAGAGTGGGCTCCGGCAAACCGTTGACGATGTATTCCGATGTGTAACAGGGCACATCTCCGGGTTTCACGTTGGTTTTATTCTGGGAGGCGGAATCAAAACAGAAAGCTGTAGGTACCACACCAAGTGGTAGTGAAGCGCAATAAGAAGTAAGCAAGCACTTGAGAAGTGCTTCTGCTAGGCGGATACTCACAATATCATGACACTAAGGACACTGTTGTAAGGATTGTGGGTTAGTACTTACAAGCTTGAGATCGAAATGACCTGGCTGATTTAAAGAGAAGGGTTGTTTCTACGGAGCAAGGGCAAATATCAATCCGGTGGAACATTCTGCACCAACAGTTTCCAATGCCAGGGATGGGCTTCAAATGATAGCAAATTCTCAAATGGTGATTCAAAAACTTGTGAAACTGCCGCACGGGCTATTTGTGTACGCGTAACGCGTTAGAAATAACCATGTCTTGGTAGGGAACTGCATTTATGATGCCCCTTCGAAAGAACTTGTTAGGAACACAATCCTCGTAAGCCGGAAGGGTGATAATATCATAAGAATTCAGAAGGGCTCAATTATCAAAAAGAGCGATTACCACATAGGCGTCAACGGTACGCCAGCACAGTATCGGTGCTTCTCTGCCACGTGACCACAATCAGTCGTGCATGAAAAGGGAGAATACGTTAGATGACCAGATGGGATGGATTCCGGGTCGCTCAAAGCTTCATTACCAAATTTAGGCAAGTAACCTGTTGGTTTTTATAATTAAAATGTGTTCAGCAGGAGCGAATTGGCTAATACCGTCTAATCAGTTGGCCTGACTAAAGAAATACATTGCTAGACATCGCAGAAAACGGAATATACTGGTATGGGTCGGCGGAATTGACATGACTTAAAAGTTGGAACATGGAGGGATAGGTTGTACACTATCGGGTGAAGACAAGCATGTAACTATGCATAGTACAATGTAGAGTTGCTTGCAATGACCTGCTGACGCGAAAAAGGTAGATGAAATCCGACGTGATGCGGTGCGCCTCGCAGTAAGGCGTACCACTGGGGTCTTGCAGGTTTAAAAAGAGAATAGTTTCTAATGCAAAGGGAGTATATGTTACCGTGAAATGCTGTGGGAGCATGATAGATAAGCGAGACTCACCAGAAAGCGTCGAGCAGACGCTTTCTCTTCCAATAGCCGGGCGACTATCGCCCATTGATGCCCCAAGCGGTACGCGTTAGTGGGAGTCCTTGATATATCATCACAAGGCACTTCAGTACCTTTGACAAAATTCGGTGAAGGGTGGGAATCGTTTAACATAACTGTCGATTGACAGCAGGCCCCCAAAATGGATCCATGGGATAGTCCGACATACTGCCTCCATAAATTGGGTGGAGAGCTTGAATTAACGCTGTCATCGCGACGGCGTCCTGCCGTCGAAGATTGGCCGTGGCGGAACTGCAACGCCAGTGAGGAGAATTCTGCCTCACACATATCTCCGATGGATTTGGAAACGATATCGACAATCTACCAAATAAAGAGGATAAGAGGAACTAGTATGCGCGGTGAACAATGACTCATCACGGGCAAAGAAACAGTTTAACAGGTGCTGTAGGTTGGCACAGTCAAGAATCGCAAAAAAGCACAGTGAGATGATGATATATTCGGAGTAAGGAAGCATACGTACTCAGTGTGCGAGCGAATGATAAGGTCATCATCATCATCCTTATACAAGTTAGCTAGAGGTGTAAAGCGCTTCAGCTATTGCGCCGCAATACATAAACGAAAAATATAAATACAACAGTTGCATTCCAGCTGAGCTACCAGAAACTTATGGGTAACGTTCTGGAAAGCTAATAGCCGGCTACTAGGCAACAAGAAAAATTGTTATGTAAAATTATATTACGCTACGCAATGTGATTGTAATTAGAGGGGAGGCTAAAACGGATGGTGAGAAACAAAGAAACTCACAGTAGGAACGCCACTAAGGTTGGGAATCTGCGTCGTTAATTGCTAGCGTTCTTGGCGAAACAAACGTTCACACTAGTACTAGCACTCATCAAAAATATGCACATCCAGTAAGAGCAGACAATAAACAGACATAGGTAGAAAGTCGTCACATCTATACTCACTCAGACAGCCGTCACACGCCCGGAAAGGCATTGTACGCGCGTTTCATCTTTTCCGGAATCGTCAGCAATGCGCATTCCATCGGACCTTGGTAGGGCTGGAACTCGTAACACGACTGCTGCCAGTCCGTAGTTGAGACCACTGAGCTACGGGGGACGGTAACGACCATCGAGAATAAGTTAGTAGATGTGATATAGCGCCGCTCAGTGCTCAACCACGGTCTGGCAACAGTCGAGTTGCGGGTTCGAGCACTACCAGGGTCCGATGGAATGCGCACTGCTGAGGATTCCGGAAAGGATTAAACGTGCGTAAAGTGATTTTCCGGGCGTGTCACGGCTGTCTGAGTGAGTTTAAATGTGACGAATTTCTACCTATACCATGCAACGCCGTCTACTACTCTTCTGTAATCAGTAAGCACACCAAACTGCTTATAATGCCATAAGTTAATTGGCGGCTTAAGTTTGCTAAGCTCGTGGCTTGGTGAGGGGGCTACACTGTCCTCTGCATGGCAGTAACGTGTAAGTCAGCGGATAGTGAGCGGCGCTATATCACATCATTAATTTATTTAAGATAGTCGTTGCCGTCCCTCGTAGCTCAGTGGTCTCAACCACGGACTGGCAACAGACGAGTTGCAGGTTCGAGCCCTACCAGGGTCCTATAGAATGCGCACTGCTGACGATTCCCGAAAGGATTACACGCGCGTAAAGTGATTTTCCGGGCGTGTCACGGCTGTCTGGGTGAGTCTAGATGTGACGAATTTCTACATATACCATTCAACTCCCCCTACTACTCTTCTGTAATAAAGATACGGTTTTGAGCAGAAACAACAGGGTTTTGAGGAGCGTTCTAAAGATTACAGATTCTGAGGAATAAGTAATTAAGTCGGCTTCCTAGACGGCTGTATTGTTAACTAGTTTAAGTTGTTTATCTCTGGAGCTGATGTTCTGACTGAGTTGCAATAAATGGCGGCAGAAGTAATTGAGACCACTCAGTATGTGGTGCACCAATACGACATTGTACAGCACAAAAAATGAGAAGTTTCATGTAAATAACTAACGTGGAAAATGAATGAGATTACCAAGTAACCTTACGTAGAGCCCCCTTAAAACTCCGTAGTTTTCGCCATTGCTAGTGCCGTTCCTTGAGTCTTCCTTGTTCGAAGTTATGGGATTGCTAATACCGCGATATCACGCATGTAAGAATTGTGCACCTCAGAGATGATAACACGAAACTCCCCGAGCACCCTCCGCAATAGACCAACCTGTAGGGTACTCTTTATGCAAGCTACATTTGTGGCAGCTGAGGTCAGCTTGTATGAACACCCAAGAGACGCCTTCCTGGGAAATAGTCTTCAAGGTGCTGTCCCAAGCTTATAAAATAAAGTGTGTCTGTGGTGGAGTTGAACAACTCGGCACTTGCACGTTGAATGGTAGGCCGTTCGAAGCTTTTTATTGAGGTAGTGTTGGGAAAATTCGCGGTCGACCGCCGTACCTTAACACCACTTGTGAAGAGTAAGAAACTAGAGCAATAAATCTCGCTAAGTCGGGTATGAAAACCAGAAACAGAAAAGAGTAGTTTCAAACTTTTACGGCATGCCACATTCGAGGTTGATGGCATCAGACAAGGAAAATAAACGATCCTACACAGAATCAGGTGACTGGTGTCATAGTTTTGGAAATTTTAGAACAGAATAAGACAACTCAGACTTAATTGGTTCCAGGAAGCCAAGTCATACGATATGGGCTACGACCTTATCGTCAAATGCTTCGATGCAGCTAGCAGGTTCAAGCAGCGGATTATTGGTAAGCGACTGGTGTTGCCAAAAGGCATGCTGTTTTGTTGTTGATACTTTGGTGATCAAGGTGGTCCAGTAGCGCATCGGCGTTGATTGCTCCTATGAGTTCCGAAAGATCAAAGCATCAGCAAGCTAAGTGCGCCCATCTCTCTTCGGAATGAGGATGATGCTCTCCCGTCTGATAGGACCTAGACCACGGTTCGGCTATACCCCTCATGGTTACTTGCAGAACGTTCAATTTAATGTTGTAGACACGCAGAGACAATAACATGGGTTGTACAATGGCGAAGCAGCAGAAGCGGTAAGAATATTGAATCACGTTACCAGTTGGTAACTAAAGGAGTGCTGAAACTGCAAAGCACTGGGAGCCTCTTTTATTGTTTACGCGTATCTATCAAGTGTAAGGAACTGTGGAATTCCGCGCTGCACCTTGTGGAGTCTGTTGATGTGTCTGTAAAAAAAGTTAGCAGTTCGCGCAGAATCGTTTACTTGTTCCTGTTAGTATCACATTGTCTTCGCGGACAATCGTGCATTGGTGCCGATGAGCGACAAATGTAATCAAGCGCTTAGTAATGGAAATTTTTGTGAACTCGCCATGCCAAATCCCTCAAGATCACACATCGTCATGTTCTGCTCCTCATGGATATCTTGGCCGTGTGGGTGCGACCAAAATCGGTTGGCTACGGTGCGTGCGTAAGCAACACACTAAATGCAAGCATCAACGTTTCCCAAGCGATCTCTGGGGCATAATCAGTAACGAAGTCCAGGGCGCTTCTTTAACGGGTGTTGGTGTTCTGGTACGCGAAATCTTAACCTGTGCACCGCGTAGTGTGCGCAGTCTAATCGTGAAGTTTCATGGTCACAGCATCTCAAGAGACTGCCCTAACTACTAAGCCGATCGCGAACTCATCGTCCGAAATTTCATGGGAGAACGAGCATAGATGGAAGCTGGGTGATGCGGCGACCGACAGTATGACCGTATAGCTGTTAGAAGAAGGTCACGTGTTCCTACAAGACTATCCCAAGCGGCGCTGACGCGCCACCTATCACGTAGGCGGACATGTTTACTTAAAAGCCCGAAAGCGCAGCGTTCACATCTCAAGGAAGCAGGGTTCGATGTACACCCTTATCCACCTAAATTTGTGCCCTAGATGATGAATTAACCGTGCCATAAATTTGAGGTAAATTCTTCATTATCTATGGTTCGCAGTGTAGTAGTAAGGTGTTTGACTGCGTTGCCTGCGCGCTGTACTAAAATATTGAGCGTTGATCTTAGTCTTCGTTCATTTAACAATTCGCGAGGCGGTACCTGAGCAGAATTCCGTTCACATATTTTGGACGTTGGAAATCATATCGAAGCGATCGTTTGTTCTCCTCGATCAGAATTGTAACGGCCTTAACCGAAACCGGGTGCCTCCGGAGAACCGACCTCGAATGTAACAAAACGAGGTGAAAAAGCATATCTGAGTACAGTTAAACAGGATTGCTAAAACTGCCTCATAGACTACTGCATTATAAACGGTATGCCACTAAGCACAGAACAGTCGCCGCAAGCTTTCCATGCGTTGATTTGTTGAAGATGGTGAGGTAAGAAACGCCTGCTCCAGGAGAGACATTGCGGACCATGACTACGAGTTCTTGTTAGATCGGCGAGTGGCTGATTCTCTTATTGCATCAAGGGTTCATGTTCCAGACAAGTTAGTAAGAACAGAGTGACAGCCGAGCTGATCTAAAAATTTTAACACGTTCGTACAGCCTGCTTGGTTCCCGTTAACGGATCGGCATCAGGCCACTTTGTGTTAGGCGGACGGCTAAATTATCATCATCATACACGTTAGCTAGAGGTGGGAAACACCACAGCTACTGTGCCGCAATACATAAAAAAAGAAAAAAAAGCAACTGGTGCAAACCGGCTGAGCTACCGGTAACGGATGGGCATCGTTCCGGTAAGCTACCAGCCGACTATTGTGCATCAAAAAAATACTATGCGAAATTATATAAGGTTAAATAAGGAGATCGTGGTTGGAGGGGGAGGCTAAGAGGGATGGGGTGGGACAAAGAAACTCACAGCACGAACACCACTGAGGTCGGCTCCTTGCCATATCACCAAGTGTGTCCAACCAAACGTGTTCATCGTCTTTTGGACCCCAAATACCAACCCCGGCGCGCAAACAACGCACGTCGCGGGAGTCGGTGGGCTGGCATGCGTAACACGTGGCCGAGCCATCGGAGCTTGGTGCGTGAAATAACGGTGCTGAGCGGTTCATTTTCTTTTCCTGTGCCATAAACTAGGCGTCGAACACGCTCGTTGCTCACGCGGTGTTCCCACCAGATGTGAGCTAAATTACGAAGGCACCGGTGGTCGAACGTAACTAGCCTCTTCAGGTCCGCTGCTTTAAGCGGCCAGGTTTCGCAACAGTACAGTAGGGTCGAACGTACCGCTGCATTGTACACTCTACCCTTCAGGGCAAGAGTGATGTCGCGCCGCCGCCATAAGCGGCGAAGGTTAGCAAAAGCGCCCCGAGCTTTTGTTATACGATTCGTGATCTCATCCTCAATCTCAAGGGCACTGATACAACTTCCCAGGTAGCTGAATTTTTGA